GAGGCTACTTGGGCTGGCTAGGGTTACATGTAACTTGGGCTGGCTATGGTGGGCTTTTTTAGCATGCTATTTAAAACTTCGGGTCCCCAACGGGCACCCACAGGGGAGACTCAAAACCCGACCCCGACCCGTGCCGTTTTGGGTCCCCGAACCCGAAAACCCCCGGGACGAAAAGTAGAGCCGCCCCGCCCCACCAGGTCCAAAACCCGTGGGCTTAAGGTCTAGACCTGCCCCGTTGTCATCCTTACACAAGCCCTCCCTATCACATCATGTCATGTCACGCTTTCGTCTGTGCAGCACGTGTAGGCATTGGCCCCCACCATTTCCATGGAGCAAAGTGGGCTGTCATTGGGCTCCTAAGACCTCTCAGTGAGGCGCGTCGCACGTGCTGGCCGCATCTCCTCAAGCTTTGTGGCGCATGGTGTCACGTCGTGACCCATCAAAACAGAAGGCGGGTGGAGGAGGCCGAACTCGCTGGATCTTGGGAGGTGATTTTCCATGAGCCTTGAGTTCTCCTTTTTTTCCCCTGAGCGCGGCGTTCTCTTGACCAACCACCTGTTTGCGTGGCAGGGCTAGAGGGGCATCTCTCTGCATTGGTGAAGGATCTACAGAAGGTGCAAGCAGAGGTGGGTGGTGTGATGAGCCAGCTTGAGCAACTATGTCAGGTCACAACTTCCACATGCGACCGCACTCTTGCGTGGGGATGACCTAACGACGTGGTGGCGCTGATCTTCCCACTCGTGTTGAGGTTGTTGCCACGGACGGCCTCAACTTCAGCGCCCACACTACCTTGGCAATGGCAAAGTCCCACTATGGCGCAAGTGATCTCGGGTAGATAAGCAAAGGTTTTGCGCGAGGGGTGACGGGGGGCGCTGTGCGGCATATCGAGTAAGAGGCAAAGGGGCTTGCCGAAGACTTGGTCCATGACATTGACCTTGTAAAGGTGATAAGAGGTGGCAAGTATGCCTAGTACTCATGTCACCATGGACAGAAAGGCCTGATCATGGCTTGGTTTCCCTTCTCTCCTAGTTCCTGCCAAGGTACTAATTAAATAGCGGTTGCAGCGGCCGCAATAGCCGTAGGTCTCCTACCACTACCGCTACGACATAGCGAACTGAGTTTAGTAAATTGGAACTTAGTGGTCGCTATTTGAGTTAGCGAGCCACTATAGCAGTCAGCAATCCTTTTTAGCAGCTCCGATAGCATGATATGATATGCAATAAATAAATAATTCTAGCCCATTTAAACTACACAGATGGTTTATGTGACCAGGAAACTGATGAGCTGATGTTGCTATTTTTTTTACAATAATAACGAATGATGGTCTTATGAACTATTTATAGCTCTCATAATCTATTTCTTTATAAACTTTTTTATATGATAACTTATATGTAATGTGTAGAAGACCATTGTTTTTTCTTAATTTAAGTGAGACATCAGTTCTTTTAATACAGTCAAATATTTATTTATACATATTATTATGATATATATATATATGCTTAAATTTTTATATAATTATCATATGTCACTATTGAAACTTAGCGTACGTAATAACACCCGCTATCCACGATCCACTATTTGACAATATTCCGCTACTAACGTACTATACGCTATCTAGTAACATGCTATACGCTGTTTAGTACTACCTCCGTCCTCAAGAGAATGCAATTCTAACATTGTGTCATATTTTAGTACCTTAAAAGTTTGACCAATTATAGATAAAAAATATCAATATTTATGATACCAAATAAATATCATTAGATTAATTACGAAATGTATTTTTATAATATATTAATTTAAAGCCATAAATATGAACATCATTCACTGAAAACTTGGTCATACGTAAACCTCTTTACATGGCATGCCATCTATAGCTACATTTTCTGTGGGACGGAGGTAGTAGCTTCTTTTCTGGTGAGAGGAAAGTCGCTTGCTTGTTGTGTATTCCTCTTGTGCCTGGTTTGTCTGCATTATGTTCAGCAGTCGAATCACCACAGTGTCGATCTCTGAATCTGACGCCTCCTCTGTGATGAAAATTGAAATTGTCCGGTTTCCCTTTTCTCCTGGTCTCTGCTGAGAGGAATTTTGAGTGTTGTGTAGGAGTATCTCTTGTGCCTGGGTCGTTGTCATCATTATATTCAGTAGTCGAATCAACCACCGTCTCGATCTCTGAATCTGACGCCTCCAGTGTGCTGATTCGGCTCGAAAGCAACTGACATATGCCCATTGCTCCTTTTATTTCCACCACGCCGTAAACAGGACAAGCAATCATGCTTACAAACGGACAATATATGACTATATTTGGTAGGGCTCCTTCGATGCTTAAAAGAAGTCCTGTCAAACAGCTTAGAAGATGAGTCGTTTCTAGTCGTTTTTCACGGAAAAAAAGATGAGTCAGAGCCGTTTTGGCTCGCCTTATTCGATGGTTAAAGACGTAACTACTGCCTCGTCCGACTCCGAGCCTCAAGAGCCGGGACACGCCTCGTCCAGTCCCATGGGGAGGACCCCGCCTCGTCCGACCCCCGGGGGTCGGATTCCATCTCGTCCGGCTCCCAGGGAGAGATTTCCACCTCGCCCGATCCTTAGGGGATCGGATCTGCTATCGACCAAAGCAGTGGTCCCATGGTAGGGCTCGAACCGCTTCAACCACTACGGCATGGAAGCGCACGACCGGGAGCACGTCTCAGACGTGTCCTGATGCGACTGGTGGTCGCATTGGGCTATGCTGGGAAACTTGCATCGCCCATCGCGTCAATAGGCCGGCACTGTGCTGCCAACTCTCTATCTAACCACCGTCCAACGTCAGTCAACCGGCGTCAGTTGACTGGCACTGTACCGCTAGCCCCCCGCATGGCTTCTGTCAGGGGACCCTTTGACCATTCCGTCCGCTCGGATGGAATGGAAGACAAGAAAGGCACGCTTGACGCCCGCACGTAAGTTGCAGCGGCCAACGGGACTCCGGTACGACGCCGCTGCCACCACGATCTACAGGGTCAACGAGACCCATGCAAAGAGGAGGACGGTGCACCTTTGGGAGTCTTATTTCTCTTTCTTTTTTTTCTCTTCCCTTCGGTTGTAACCCCTACTTTCCTTGACATATAAAAGGGAAAGCAGGGCGTCCCACTAGGGGATCGACTCATCACACATCGATTCATCGAACAAACACACCGCATCACACCAGAAACTTGGGAGCTACCTCCCTCTCTCGTCAGTTTATAACCCCTACTACAAACTCAATGCTAGTAACACGAGCAGCTCGAAACTGGACGTAGAGACATTCGGCCCGAACCAGTATAATCCTTGTGTCATCTTAGTACATCATTCGGTCAGACGCGCAATATACAAATTTACTAACCGGTGCTTACTCGAAACACCAACAATACTTGTGTCTAGAAATTTATAAAAGAGAAGGACTAAATTATCCTCAACATCTAGATGTATAAAAACTAGGAAGGACTGAAAGAGGGGCTTCGTTATCGCAGAAGGGGGGGAGCACCACTTGGCACTACTGGCTACCGCAAAGCATAGCGCCGGCTAAATATCCTGGGATGAAAGAAGCAGCCTTTATTTGTATGAGATTAAGATAGTGCAATCAACTGGTCAGCACCACTAAAATCGATTTTACTCGCTCTATTTCAAATTATAAGGGCACCTTCAACAATAGAGTTAACTTGCTAGCTCATATATTTTTTTTAAAAAAAGATAAATATTGAGTAACTCAACATGCTAGTATAGAAAAACGTATAAACATAGACACATAAATCTTAAAAAAGTATGTGAGCTTAGCTCTTTTAACACTGTTGGAGCAGCCCTATGTTACTTTGGTAATATTCTAAATCAAACTTCTCTTATTCTGACCAAATTTATAGAAAGGTGTACTAGAATTTATAACATCAAATTATTTTCACTAAATCCACCATGCAATATGTTTTAAGAGTGTACTAATTTAGTATTGTAGATGTCAATATATATTCAGTTTCGCTATATCATGCCAGATTAAAATATTTTCATCCACATCTGAGTTTTTTGTTTTCCTTTCCTTTCCCTTTCTTCTTTCTAAATAGGATGCATGGAAAGAAATAAAACTAAGATTCGGGTAAAATTCTTCTCCTACATACCCTAGTTTTATTCATTGTCAACTTATGTTGGATTTAGAATCAACTTGTATGATTGTTTTGATGCAATTTCTAAATAGAATCGGTGTATCTAAAAAATTAATATGTGAAAAAGAATATTTCACCTGATTTTTGCACACATTTAATCTGGGCGTGAAAATTTAAGTGTAGCAGGGAAATTTTTCACTGGAAAAAGAGTAGACGGTTCTTATATATTTCTATAAACTTGATCAAAGTTGGTGGAATTTAGCTTAAGACAAAACCAGAGTGACTTATATATTTCTATGAACTTGATCAAAATTAGAGAAAATTGATTTAAGACAAAGCCAAAGTGACTTATAATTGAGGGAGCGAGTATAAAAGGGCAGAGTAGCCTGCCGACATTGGGTCTCATAAATAATGGACTGATTCTACTACGTTTAAGTCCAAACAACAAAGGGTGAAAAGAAAAACATAGCCACAGCACCAGCATGTCTCAAAATGGCCTGAACAAATGATCAAAAGCACGTTATCAGCTAAACACGAATTTATTTCAGTCCATTCTTGTACTCAATTCTTAGCACAAATGGAAATAATAATCACAGGGTAAAGATTTATACTGATCAATGGCACCAAAATGAGCATAGAAGAGGTAGCAGTTTCAAGAGTGTAACTCGTATACCAAATCTCTTTAGAATCACAATTACAGCACCACAGTGGTATATAAAAAGATTGTCGACAGTGGACAGCAAAATTCGTATCAGAGCTACTGTTGACACACAATGGTGGCAAGTAGGGAGAACTGTAAGCGCCGACTGCACGGGTCGCGCAATGAGAAGCATGCCCTGGCCCAGTCATTTACATGAGGAAAATATTGCCAAGGGAAAAGAGTACCATGAAAAGAATCTATGGACCGCGAGCCTTTGTGAAGCATAAGCATCCTGATGATTGGCCATCTGGTATCATGCCACCGCCTTTGCTCGTGTCCAGAGCCTCTAAAAGCTGCACCACTTCATCCATATCAGGGCGTTTATCTGGGTTTGCATCCCAGCATTTCCGCATAACATTCGCAAATGCGCTTGGGCAGCAGCGAGGAATGTCTGGGCGCAAATTCTGCCGAAAGAAAGAAGGAATGATTACAAAAAAATAATGTATATATATTTGTCATCTGCACATTACATGGGGGAGAGAAAGGAAAAAGTAATTGCACATCAGCAGTGTAAATGGAACACAGGGCAAACCTGGTGAACAACGGCAGATGAGACATCAGCAAAACTTAGGTCTGGGTAAGGCATGTCACAACAATAGATTTCCCATAAACAAATGCCAAAACTGTAAACATCACACTTCCTGTTGTATGGCTTACCATCAAGAACCTGTTATAGAACATACAAAGAACAGGAACATTTTTATTTTTAGCATGGGAATAACTGAAAATAATGCACATTATGAAACAGAAAAGAAAAAAAGGTCAGTCCAGTAAATACCTCTGGAGCCATATAACCAAGTGTGCCTGTTGCACCAGTCATGTCCTTTGGATTCTGAGCCTCAACACGAGCAACACCGAAATCAGCAATCTTAAGGTTTCTCTGTGGAGTAAGTAGCATGTTTTCGCTTTTCACATCCCGATGTACAATCTTCCTGGAGTGCAGATAGCTCAATCTGCAAAGGAAAGGTCCAGACAGTTACCAGTGGATTCACAGAAAATAATGCATGGCAGTATTTCAGCTTAAGTGTTCTTTACCCTCTAGCCAAATCCAATGCAAGCTGAACCACAACTTTGTAAGCAAGCTTCCATCGACTGTTCTTTATCAAATATTGCTTCAAAGTTCCTCCAGCGAGATACTCTACCACGACACAACATGCTCTTGCAGGAAGATTTGTACGTGCACCACCATTGGAATTATTTGCTGGAATCTTAAGGTCTGTGGTCCCCATAGATGCACCCACAAACTGCGAGAAAAAACAACACCACGCATTTAAGTACTTCTCAATAGCACAAAAGAACAAATCTTTTATGGAAGATACCAGCTATGAACTGGTCATGGGCAAATTTTGGTAATAATCAGTAAGCTAAGGATCAACAGCTTTACTACATGAACAAGCATCTATACGGAGCTACAGACATGAAGATGCACGGGTATGCATGAAAATATTCACCTTTGTAACATTAGGGTGGCTGAGCTTATGCCAAACAGCAACCTCCGTCTTGAATGATGTTCGTAAAGCAGCAGTTTCAGCTTCTGTGGCAAAACCATCTTCTCCCCAATCCAAAAGCTTCACTGCATGTATCACACAGTAATATTACTTATCTGTCCCATGGAATTGTGTACATATAGTGCACACATATGTCAACATGACAATAGAAGATCAATGAAGCATCACAAGTCATTTGTGACAACAAGATAAAAGAATCCCTATTCAAACAGTGAATGTATGCAGATGTTAACTTTGGAGAATTGACTAAAAAAGATTTTTAAAAAAGAACAGAAAAAGGAGACCCACCGCCGCACCAGCCCAAACTAAATGATATCGGTATTTATTGCTAATAAAGAAATACTAGGAAGAGAGGTGCTCCATGGTCTAAAGACCACAATCTTGTAAGTCAAAGTAATAAATTTTAGATGAAGGAAATTGAATTGGATCAAAAAATAAAATCTTAATCTGACAAAATGTAGCACAAATGAGCTTCCAATAGCATTGTCATTTGTCCTGGTCACATATCTACAGCTGATGAACACAACAATGGTATCTATTAATGATGCAGCGATAGCTTATTGACTATTGACAATCACAACAATGGCACATCTAATCTTGAGAAGGCTGCATGAACATTACAAAGTTTGGAAAGATTAAGTGCAAAACATTATTTGCACATCAATCTACAAACGACTTGAAGATCAATTGATAGAAGGATAAGACACTTAAAAACATAAGGAAAAGGAAAAGAGGTCAACATCGAAACATCTCCGACTGGCAAGAAATTGACTAAGGGGGAATGGGGCAGGAGGACTGCAGCCCAAAGGTGAAAAGTGAGAAGGAGAGGGAAGAATGAGAACACAAGCATACTTTGGGAAGTCCAGAAAGAATATCCTGAAATTATTCATGCTGCAAGGCCATCAAGTGGGAGTATGCAAATATGCAAAGGCACCGCACACATGCATATCTAAATTCTAGGCATGACAAGGTTAAGTATGGTCCAACCAGAGCAGCCCATAGTTACTATCTTATTGGATTTCTCCATTCAAGAAACAGATTCTTCAGTATACTAACCACCAACCATTAAGGTCAGATGCACATTTTAAACCAAAGGTTTCAGTGAGCAAAAGTTTCTTTTGAAAGGAAAAAAAAAAGGCAAGCATATCTTAGAGCCGACGATTTAGATATAGATATGAAGCAGTTGCATAAAAGCACAGTAGATACACTGGAAACAAGAAAATGCAGCATTGTGTCAAGCACGAACAATCAAGTCGAACCCTGAATTAAGACAGAGTAGTGCTGCCAGGTATTACTTTCCGCAAAATTAAGGCTCCCATTCCATAGGTCACATGTGGAATAAACTTCAAGAAGTAAGCTACTGGAACTAGTATACCTTGAATCATACAACCAACACACAGATGCATTGTTTCGATCATGTAGTATACCTTGAATCCGTAAGACAGCATAAGACTATTACTAAAATGAGCCTGTCTGCAACATTATCGGACACTTTGAAAGAAGCAGAATTACCTGCAACGTCCTGTCCATCATAGGTGCCCCTGTAAACTGTGCCATACGTCCCCTGAGCAATCACGTGGCGGATCTCCAGCTTCGCAAGGTCGATCTCCCACTCCTCCTTTGGCCCCTGGGATTTGAGATTGGCTTTGCCCCAGGTCTTGGTGAGCTGCTTCTCCAGCTGGATGTCGAGGCTCGTAAGATCAATCTTGTCGGCACGCACATACGTATCGTTGCTTCCCAAGCTGCCGGACCTCTTCAGGTTCTCCTTCGCCTGGGGCATCTCGCTGGTGCTCGACGCCATCGCCACAGCGGCCGAAAGCAGCTTTCCGGGAACGATTCCGGGAGCCCCAAAACCAAGAACAGACGAGCAACTCCTCTAATGGAGATGGAGAACCGGTGTGCTACAGAACATGCTGGAGCACCGGAGACGAGACAAGAACCGGCTTCTTGCCCCCAAGAAACCACCAATCCAAGAATCGGTAAAGCTTTTTGACTGGAGGAGATAGCTAAAATCTTGGCCGAGACTTGACTCTAGATATGTACCAAGCAAATTCTCGGAATTAGGCCGTGACCTGGCAGGAGATAAACACCGGTGGATCCAATCCAACAAGTAAAGAGAGGTTGCGGTTGCGGCTGTATTATACCGAACTAAAGCGACGGTGGCTGCACGAAAGTGAAGAGCCAGCCCCCGGAGACCGACCGGCCGAGTTGACCAGCGGCCGACGAAACTGGCAGGAAAGATCGCGAGCTGGAGACGCCGACCGCTCGAATCCAATCAAGCAGAGGCCAGGTTGCAAGAACACGGGACCCGGCGGAGCCTCCGGTCGCGGAGCGCGCGAATCGGCACCGAATCGGCGCAAGATTACCTCCGGGAAGGAGACGCGGTAGAATTGGCGCTCGGGGCGGGGGTGGGGGGCGCTCCTGGTGTTGACGAAGCGTAGCGAGGGGACAGATAGTTTATTTGCTACGGCCACCACCCACCACCCACCACCGGCAGCTGCACCCGCTTCGCCTAGGCCTGTCCGCTCGCCTTGCCGGCTCGGCCGGCGGCTCCCTTTGTTCTAGGCCGCGTCTCTTGCGGCCGCGAGGATATGCTGCTGCTTCGCCACTCGCCAGCCGCCCGCCACGGTCCAAGCTGGACTGCAGGCGAGAGATTTTTCTTTCGTCTACGGGTCCTCGGTTTTCACTTTTCAGTCAAAAAGGCTGGCTGATTATGCAGGCACTTTCGGGAAGAGCTGTAGTATGAATTTGAGTTGATTATGAATTTATTGTAATAATGTTCTCTTCTTTTAAAATTTTGAACTGATATTTTCTTTCTTATTAGTCTAATGCTATGTGGTCCCATATACAGATAGTACAATAAACATTATTTTCTTTCTTTTTCCCAACAGAAGTACAACTTTAGTATTATCAGTTTTTTTTTAAATATAGGTTGTGATGGTTTTATTCTTTGATCGATATAATGTGATGTCAGGAAAATACTTGGTGTTTGAATACCACATGACCTTATTTAAGTATGTAAGCCCTCCTTTTATGCACAATAACTACAAAGGGAACGAGAAAGGTCGGAATCATGTAAATTTCCTTGTCCTATAAATGTATGTACAGAATACAATTATCCTATCTTTGTACGCAAAAGAATGCAAATTTGGACGCATTCTTAGTTTTATTTTGGGAATGACGCATTCTTAGTTTAAACGTCTAAACTTTGATTAAATATATAGATAAACATATTAATGTTTATGACATTAAGTATATATTATAAAAATGTATCTTATGATAAATTTACTGATACTTATCTGATATTATAAACATTGATGTTTTTTATATGTAATTAGTCAAACTTATGATATTTTAATTTGGTACTATACTAGGATTGTATTTTTTTCGTGGACCGAGAAATTACATCATACATTACGTGCCTTCGTAAAAAATACAACTTCATAATATATACACACATACACATCTATCAAACTCTAAAACCAGGCATCGGTTTTTGTACTTTAGAAGAAAGAAATGATATCACCAAAAGTATATTTTATATCACCAAAAGTATCTTTTACCCTTTTATAATCTTCAATTGCGTAGCTATCGAAGATGATAACGAAAAATAAATTGTCATAACTGAAATCTATTTTGGATTGCTAACCCATCCGGATTGCTAACCCATCCGCCACAAAATATAACGGCTCACGAGAACCCACAATGAAATCTGGCTCAAACCAGCTATTTTATGGCATATATTAGCCTAAGATGGCCGAAAAATAAGCCAGTTAGGGATTATTCTAGTTATATAGAGCATTTCTAAGAGACCTTCTAAATCTCACTCTCTAAATCATCATTTGAAAAGTTATTTACATAAAAATCGCTTTCTATATTTTTTCACTTTCCAACAGTTTTTTCTATATCTCATGCGCACTCTAGAGAGTCATTTTCGTCTTTTATATTTGGCTAGCGAAAAATCCGGAATAGAAGATGACTATATTTGGATGACTATTTAGAGAGGCTGTTGGAAGATAGTTTTTTTACCAAAATCTCTATTTCTAACATTTAGGAATGATATGGAGAGTCCCTTGAGATGCTCCAACGAAGGGCATGATGCATCACTTGTTGCTTAACTTGTTTTGAAATTTAAGAATGCCTTGTAATAAGGAACAAAGGGATTATGTAATTGAGTAATTCCAAGGGCGCTGCTAGCGTCCGGACTTTCGAACCGATGTCGCGTCCGAACGCCCGCGCGTATGCATGTAGCTCCTGCCTGCCCGCCCACACGCTGCTGTTGCGCCGCCGCACATGCCCACACGCTGCTGCTGCTTTTGTCGTGCCTGCCGGGGCGGCTCGGCCCCACTTGCTGCTACGCATGCATGTGGGGGCCGCCGCACCCACTTTGCTTCCTGCGCGGGGACTGTTGCGCCTGTGGGGACCACCTCCGCCTGCGTCTGCTTATGGAACACTTGCAACATGAAGCATTTGCTGCAACATACATCTGGAAATAGACAATATATCTATATGGTATCTGCAAATATATGCAACATCCAGATAAAACACTTGCAACGTACGTTTGAAACAGCTGAAATATTTTAAAGATACACTTGCAACATACGTGTATAGCTAGTGCAACATACTTTCTCTCTCCTCAAATAAATCAATTCATAGAATTCATGCCAGTCAAACTTTTTTAAGTTTGACTAACTTTATAGAAAAGAGTAACAACATTTATAACATAAAATGAAGACCTTATGAATATATTTTCTATGGTAAATCTAATAATACTAACTTGATACCATAAATCTTAACGTTCTTTTCTAGAAATTCGGTCATAGTTTAAAAAGTTTGACTTAAGACAACTCTAGAAATCTAAATATTAAGGGACAGAGGGAGTATACAACATCTAGATAAATACTTGCAACATATGTTTGAAACAACTGAAACATACACTTCCAACGTACGTGTATAGCCATTACAACCTATGCAACGCTAGATCTACTTTTGCAACATCTAGATGAAAACATATGTAACATACATCTGAAACGCATGAACATACGGTTGCAACATGTGCTCATCTACTTGCTGCCGCCCAATAGAGGCTTGTTGATGCGGAGCTCGGTGCTACGGAGTGGCGCAGAGGTCGCGCACAATCCACGGACCTCGGTAGTGGCCGCGGCGGGAAGCGCGAGTCCGGGAGAGACACGCGCTGGGGAGCACAGCATGAGCACAGGCGGAGGTGCGTGGCGCGAGGTGCGGAGGCAGGCGGGCCGGTCCCCTCCGGAAGGACGGACGCCCTGAGGTATTACTGTAATTCCAATGCTTTTTAGAGTACACGGTTAATCCCACTGGTAGAGAGTCCGGCTCTACTCCCGGTTGGGAACCCCTTTTAATCCCGGTTTCCCAACCATGAGTAAGAATCCGGGACTAAAGGGTGCTTCCCTTTAGTCCCGGGTCAACAACCGGGAGTAAAGCTCCCTCCTCAGTATAAAAAATAAACAAATTTCTTGAGACCTCGCTTGCGCTGTGTGGGATTCGAACACAAGACCTCTCTCATCACGCATAGATTCCTTACCAACTCAACTGCACACCACATGTGACATAGTCCTCTGCGCTCCTACTTTTAAATTGACCCGTGAGGGACCTTTAGTCCCGGGTGGGAGACCTTTAGTCCCGGTTCGTAATACCAACCCGGACTAAAAGGTCACCCTTTAGTCCCGATTGTTGTTACCAACCGGGACTAAAGGTTGGAGGACTTTTAGTCCCGGTTGGTGGCTCCAACCGGGAGTAAAGATCCACCTTTAGTCCCGATTGGTGTCTCTAACCGGGACTAAAGGTCCCCTACCACTGTGCCGAGCGCAGTAGCTGTTGGACAGGGACCTTTAGTCCCGGTTGAAGACACCAACTGGGACTAAAGGTCTCTCTAGTCCCGGACGCAAAAAATATCGGGACTATAGCCCATTTTGGCCTTTGATGAAAGGTCTGTTCTCTACTGGTGTCAAGAATCTAATGGATCTGTTAATTGAAAAAATGCATAATACAAATACACATAGAAGAAAATAAACAACAGAAAATACGCCCTTTACAAAGAAGCAATTCGCGTACATTATTTCAAAAAAAATGTCATGCTGATTTTGTTCAAAAGCCAATATGTTAGTGCCCAATTATTGTGGAGTACTAGTGACTAAGGTGCGCAAAGTGCAAATATATACTACTTTCATCCTGAAAATGGTACAATTATCGTTTTGTTCTTGGTGAGACTACTTAAACTTTGACCGAAATTATTGAAAAAAATAATATTTATGACACAAATAGATATACTATGAAACAATATCCTATGATGAATTTGTTGGCTCTTTCTTTTGTTTTTAATTTTAACCTGGTTAAACTCAAATTTTGATTTGATGTGCGTCCTTTTGAGGACCGAGGGAGTAGTAAACAAAAAAAAAAGATATAAAGAAAAGAAGAAGAAGAAATCTAGCTGTGCCGCAGGTGCACTTCCATTTCTTATCCTGGCAGGAACGAAAGCGCCGTCCATGGAACCAAACAGAAAAGGCAGGTACCAAAACGTCTGGTCTTGCGTCAGGACACACAGCAGCCCGGCCGGCCGGCCCATATGTGTGACAGCGACCGAGCTTTTGCTCCCACTATCAGATCATGTGGACATGTGGTGCCGCCGCCTTAAGCCAAGATGATCCGATCCAGCACTGAAAAAGATCCCGAATGGAATGGCCGGCGATGGATGCATCATGCATGGCTCATGGACACAAGACGATGATGCGTAATCGCGTATGTTCAGAAATTCAGAAAGCTAGC